AGGGAGCCCGATGCGGGACTCGATCCTGGGACTCCAGGATCATGACCTGAGCCGAAGGCAGTCGCTTAACCAACTGAGCCACCCAGGTGCCCCTGGGCAATGGTTCTTGACATCAGTTAAGTCTCTCTGTTCTGCCCTCCTTTCCTTCCCCCACCCATTCTTTCTGTCAAGCAGTTTATGATTTTGGCAGTTTCCCTTTACATACAGGCAATCCCCTAGATGCCACTGCGGCACTGCTGGAAAAGTAAAATAAAACTTAACACTTGTAGAGAAACTGGGGGTTCCCAAGTAGGATAATGGAAAAAAAAAAACTTTAAAAACTATGGTCTGTTTAGAGGACTAGAGATTGGGAAATAAGTGGAGAGATTCTTGGGAGGTGTAATTCTAGGTATAGTAAATTATATATCCTCACATGATATGAATGTTTTCACTCCCTTTATTGTACTTTCTAGAGTTTATATGGTAACGATTTGTGTGGGGAAAAAAAAACCCTCTTATTAAAAACTGAAAAAAATTCTGACAGCATTTGGGGGTTTTCGGTTATTCAATATTAATGTAAAGTAATTCAACCAGATTGTTTTCCTAACATGTGACACCCCTCCTTGAAGCACCAATGGCAGGTGTCAATATTAGTGAACTTAAGTCATTCTAGAGTCTAGAGCACTCTGTGCAGGATGGATTTTTCTTGGATATAGTGCTATGCATTGTAGGATTTGGGCAATTAAGGACACTTGTTCTTAGAAATTTGGAACAAGGGAAACTGGGTGATTAAGGGGGTGGAAGGATGCCAGAGATCAACCTGACCCAATTCAAAAATTTGCCCTGGGCTTCTTTCTTCCTCCTTCCTTCATGGCATGGTGGTTGGTTCCTGAATTCAGAATGTAGGCTAATAGCCAGTACTACTTGAACTGTGCAAAGAGATTAAATGGATGTTTGTTGGCTAGTTTGTGGACTTAATCAACATTCATGATACATTTCTATGGAATAATGGTGAATTCCAAACAACCAACTTATATATGGACTTTTGAAATATCATTCCATTTATAAGTTTGAAACTGCCAATTCTGAATTTAAATTTACATTGAATACCAGGATGTGAGAGACACCAAGTAGGGTAGAAATAAAAATTAAATAAAAGGCCAAATATACAAGGTCATAAAAGAGATGCCCTCTGAAATTACCACACTATGGTTGACATCAGTCTGCACAAAAGGATGTCCCAGAAACAATCAGAAGACAGTTTATGAAAATGTTCCCAGAGCAAAGTAGGAATTTGAAACTGGAAGGATGATAATATATTACAACACAGTCATCAGAAGATGTGGGTCAACATGGAATGTAGAAAAACGTCAGATGGAGACTATTTGTTACTGTTTATGGAATTGGGCCAATGAAAAGATCCTTTACTATAAATATCCCCAAATTTCTTTCTGGTGGACAAAGATGACTCATTAGGTGTTTTTCACTTATGATATAGTTTATACCATCTAGTTCCTATTGCTCAGATTTTATATAAATCTAGACTTTCTAATTAGATTTCAAAAGAACCTATATGTTTAGAACAGGATCCCTAGAAGAGAAAAATCCTACCTGATCCATTTGATGGATACATTCTATGTAAGTTTCTTTAAATGTCATTTTAGTATATAGATTAGGCTCCTTGGAATTTGATTAATGTGAACCAATTTTTTTTTTTAAAGATTTTATTTATTTATTTGAGAGAGAGAGAGATAGCGAGAGAGG